CCAGGGGCGCAGGGTCTGGGGGCTGCCCGGCAAACCGTGAAGCCGGTAACGCTCGGGCAGCCCTTTCCCCATGGCTGGGAGTGGGAGAGAGGAGGGGCGGAGTTAGGGCGGGAAGGGGCGGAGTTGGGGTGGGGATGGGGGTGGGGAAATGGGCGGGGCCAGGGCCCATGGAGGGTCCTCTTTTTTTATTTTTTAAATATGGTAACCCTAGGTACCACCAGCAGTGCTGCAACTCAACATACCTCAGATCACAGGCACTGACTTTCATTTTTCTGGGTGGGTGCTCCACCCAGAGGCCTCACCCCCACTCCACCTCTTCCCCTGAGACCCTGCCCTCACTCACTCTCTCCTCCCGCCCCTACTCCAACCCTTCTCTCCCCCTCCCCCCGCCTCCTGCCAGCTGCCAAACAGCTGTGGCAATGTTTTTTCCCATGGATGCTCCAGCCCTAGAGCATCCACAGAGTCGGCGCCTATGCCTTAGATAGTAAGTTACCTGAACAATGAAATAAATAATAAATAATAATAAATAGTAATAAGACTTTCTTCATCATCCAATAAAACCATGGAGGAGTTCATAATCAGGACCAGCAAATTCCAGCAAGACTCCATAGAGGAAAAGATTGCAATAAACTCTCCCTTTCATCTTCTTCAGAACAAACGTTTTAATGACATTGTTCAATCATTACAACCAGATTACATTCCACCCAGCGAAGCAGACATTGCTGGAAGGTTGCTGGATACAGTGTCTGATAAGGAAATTGAACAGTGTACACAAAAAAACAGTGATAGAAATTCATTAATAGGAGTCTTGATGGGTGGAGCAATGTACACAAGGATCCAATAATAAGTGCTTGTGTAACAGCAGAAGATGGGGTTGTCTATCTTACAGAAACAATTGATACATCTGGAGATGCCCATACAGAATACTTAAAAGTAGCAGTAGTAAAAGCTATAACAAACTAAACAAAAATTCAAGTGTCAAGTGTGTAGCTTTGTCACAGACAATGCTGCAAATGTAGCAAAGATGAGAAGACATCTAGAATGAGGTAACAAAGGGAAACCTGAAACATACAACATATGGGCACCGTGCTCATTTGATGCATATTTTAGCCAAAGACCTCTTAAATACAACTCCAGGAATAAAGAAAAATGTTGAAATTGCTAAATACTTCTGGTAACAACCACTTTGCTTCAACTTCACTGTATAGAACAGGGGGATGCAAACTAATTCTCTTCCAAAGATGTACGATGGAATTCAGTGGCTGACCATTTTGAGCTACTTATTAAGAACTGGCCTATTTTGATGATAAGCTGTGAAAAAAATCGTGACAAAACAGATGGAATTATCACAGCCAAAGTAGTCAACACTGGAGTAAAGAGAAATGTAGACGATACAATGAATATACTGAAACCTATTTCCATAGCCTTGGACAAACTGCAGAAAGATTACTGCTGTTGCTGCTGAAATTTCAAAAGAATTGCCAGACCATTCAAGAGTTACCCAACAACAACATTAAATTGCAGGCAGTTAAGCAGCAGATGGATCAAGCACATACTCCACCTCATTTTCTGACTATTCTCAACCCAAAGTACCAGGATAGATGCCTCATTGTTACAGAAGATGCTGCTATGACATGGGAATCTAATAATCACCCATCAAT